CATTTAAGTTTTCTTAAGCATCGCCTAAGGTGTAGGCGTCGGCGTCGGCGTCGGCGTCGCCGTGTTCGTCGCCGTCGCCGTCCGTCGCCGCTGCCACCGCCGCCGTCTGTCGAAAAACCAGGACCTGCGTTGTGTCTTCGTGTCGACGGCCCCGGATACTCTTCTCGCGCCCGAGGACTTCCACAACACAAAAGCCGATTCAAAAAAAACACACCTGGGACGGAGTGGAGAGCTCTAGGGCCGACGCCGTGGATGAATTACGACGTCGGAAAGGGACGTCCACATACTCGTTCTAACCCTCGTTCCCCTCGCCCGTGCCCTCGAGGCGGACGATAGGAGGTTTCCGTCGAGATCGACGGCGGCCCCCAGCGGCACCAGACTGTGCTCAGCATCTGCCTTCTATTGGCGTGTCTGGCAGGACAGGGCGAAGCTCCTCCCGCGCGAGCCAGACACAACTTGCACTACATCATTGTTCTCGCCTTCGCGGCCCCGCTGCCGTGTCTGCAGGCGGGGATGAGGACTCGTAGGCAGAAGGGGCCAACGATCAAGGCTTACGAAGACGCAGCAAGCCACCTCCGACACCCTGTCGCAAGGAGAGACCGCAAGCCCTTCCAGCATCGTGCGCACGACCGCCGGGTCCAGGGCCCTGGCTGGCCCCCCCAATCGAGGAGGCGCCGCGCCGCCAGCTCCCCCCTCGTGGTCAGCGTGGCCTCGCTGCCAGGTCCAGCAGATTGAGCACCCTGCCAACATCCCGGCCGTCAAGCCCCACTGCACTCGCCACTCAGCAAGCTCCCTGTTCTGCATCAGCAGGGGACCGAAGAATGGAATAAGCATGCAAACCTCGGAGGTCCGCGCGGATTTGTCGGATCCGCGCTGGATCCCCTGGCGGCGCCTCCGGCACCGCCCCTGGCGCGCTCCGCGCGCCAGGGAGGGAGGGTCAAGCGCCGATCCGAGAAATCCGCGCGGACCTCCGAATTTTCATGTTGATGTCAGTGTCCGTGCCCCTAGTCACATGCTGAAGCTCTTTCCTGTCCGCCGTCCCGTCGGATGTAGGGCGAAAGATAAGAAATTGTCAACAAATAATCACAGTCAGTCGAACAATTTTTCCAAAAATCGTCCCAAGACTATTGTATTACTATATTTGAATGTTCCCCTTGTAGAGCGACATGCCCGACTTAACGCCAGCATCACGAGGCGGGCAGTTCGCTTCACCCAGAGCCTGGGGAATCCATCTTCAGGGATCCTGGCAGGCGGCGGACATGGATAGTTACCCGGGCCGTGGGGATGCATGCACCCCCGCCTCGCAACTCTTCTTGGCCTTTCGGAGGAAGAAGAACGCAGCTCTCGCTCGTCGTCGTTTCTGCCTTCTACTCCTCACTCAGCGCCAGATCCCCGGAGGCTTGCTGCGGCCAGCTGGGCTGTCCGCTCCAGGAACTCCACTGACGCTGCGACCCCACCCCGGGACCTGGCCTTCCGCCCGCGGCCATCCGCCGAAGATACTGCGCGCGCGCAAGCAAGCAAGCAAGCAAGCAAACAACCGCTCTGGGGCCGCGAGGGGCGGGGCGAGACCGGGAACTTCTCCAGGCGCGACTCCATGTCATCGCGGAAATCCTCCGGCCGTCAACACGGGGGGAAGAGGGGGAGGGGGGGAGCGCGACGAAACGGGGAAGCGGACAGGGGGGGGTCAAGGATCGGGGGTGGATTGCGCCTCTTGTCCCCGAAGCCCCTCGAGACCTCCAGAGACATCCTCGGAGCTCCGATGGAGGGAAGGGGATGAGAGGAGCTGCTGCGGCCTCGGCCTCCCGGGGGGGGGCCCGTCGCCAGGCCCCAGGGACTGGCGGGAGCGCAGCCGGGGCGGAGCGCTCCCCACTGGTCGGTCGATCGGCGTCGAGCGAGGGGGGGAGGAGGAGGAGGAGGAGGAGGAGGAGGAGGAGGAGGAGGAGGAGGAGGGGACTGGGAGCAAAAGGAAGGAGCGAAAGAGGAAGAGGAGATCCAATGCTGATGTTGACACCCTCCGGCGGCAGAGTGCAGACCCGTGGCGGCACCCTCCGGGGGGGAGAACGATCCAAGCCCCAGGGCTAGCCCACATGGCCTGCTGACGCCAACCTGGACTGCGTCTGGGCGGAGCACAAGCCTTGCCAGAGTGACTCCAAGTGCGTTCCTCCTCCTCCACCGAATCCTGCTCCTCCTCCTCATCATCATCATCATCATCATCATCATCATCATCATCATCATCATCATCATCAACATCATCATCATCATCATCATCATCATCATCATCATCATCATCATCATCATCATCATCATCATCATCGTCATCATCATCGTCATCAGCAGCAGCATCATTAGCATCGTCATCATCAGCAGCATCATCATCAGCAGCAGCAGCAGCATCAGCATCATCATCATCATCATCATCACCATCACCATCACCATCAGCAGCAGCATCAGCATCATCATCATCACCATCACCATCACCACCACCACCACCACCATCGTCATCATCATCACTATCATCAGCATCATCCATACCGTCATCATCGTCATGATCATCATCATCAGCATCATCATCATAATCCTCATCATCATCAGCAGCAGTATCAGCATCAATAGCATCATCAGCAACAACGTCATCAATGCTCCTCCTCCGTCTCCGTCTCCTGCTATTCCCTCTCCGCGATACCCGTCTTCCTCCTCTTCCTCCACCTGCTTCCCCTCCTCCTCCTCCTCTCCTCCTCATCCTCATCCCTCATCATCCTCATCGTCTGCATCATCATCATCATCACCACCATCATCATCAACATCATCATCAACATCAGCATCATGATAACTTCCATCAACAACATCAACATCAACAACATCATCTGCAACAACAGCAGCATCGTCTGAAGCAATTTCATCGTGATCGTCCCCAGCAGCATCATCACCAACCGCAACATCATCATCATCATAATCGTCTGTCTTGATCCTCCTCCGCCTCGTGATCCTCCCCTTTACCCTCCTCCTCCTCCTCATCCTCCTCATCCTCAGTGTCTTTGTCCTTGTCATAATCACCGTCAGTATCATCAGCATCGTCATCGTCATCGGTTGCATCATCAGCAATATCAGCATCACCATCAGCAGCAGCATCATCAGCATCATCGGTATCAGCAGCAACATCTCCATCACCAGCATCATCATCACCAGCAGCATCGTCATCACCACCACCATGACCATCATCGTCACCATCATCATCACTACCTTATCAATCATCAACATCATCAACATCATCACCACCAACTGTCTCGTCATCGCCAGCGTCGGCGTCGTCGCCGTCGCATTCATATTCATCACCAGTATCAGCATGAGCATCAGTATCATCATCCTCAGCAGCAGAACCATCAACATCAACGTCATCATCACCGTCACCATCATCCGTAGCATCATCAACAGCATCCTCACCCCCATCACCATCAGCACCACCATCAGATTGATCATAATTGTCACCATCAGCCACCTGAACATCCGCATCATCAACAATATCATGAACACCCTCAACATCATCACTAGCATCCCAATCGCATCACCATCTGAAGCATCGCCATCGAAGCTCATTATGATCGCAATACTCGTCAACACCATCACAACCACCACCATCACCAGCATCGCCATCATCAGCATCGTCGGCATCATTAGTCTCAACATCAACGAAAGCATCAGCATCTTCGTCAGCAGCATCAGCAACCCCCTTTCTCCTCCTCATCCTCCTCATGATCATCAGGAGCATCATCGGCAGCATCATCAACATCATCATCATCATCATCATCAGCATCATCATCATCAGCATCAGCAACATCATAAGCATCATCATCACCTGCATCACCACCACAACCACCACAATCATCGCCACCACTGTCATCAGCATCATCAGTATAGTCGTCATCATGGGCATCATCATCGTCATCATCAGCATCATCAGCGGCATCAGCATCACCATCATCATCATTGTCGTCGGAATCAAAATCGGCACCATCATCGGCATCATCATCGTCATCGTTATCATCAACATCATCAACATCATCAAAATCATCCGCATCATCATCATCATCAGCATGACCATCATCATAATCCCATCATCAGTCTCATCATCATCATGATCATCACATCATCGCCATCACCACTATCATCACCATCAACACCACCATCATCATCATCATCATCAGCATCATCATCATCCTCATCCTCATCCTCATCCTCATCCTCATCATCATCCTCATCCTCATCATCAGCATCAGCATCATCATCATCATCATCATCATCATCATCATCATCATCATCATCATCATCATCATCATCCTGATCCTGATCCTTACCCTCATCCCCATCCTCATCCTCACCCCCACCATCCTCATCATCCTCGGCATCCTCATCATCTCATCCTCATCGTCCGAATCAATCGCAGCATCCCCATCCTCGGTATCAAGCCTCCTCCTTCTCCTCCTCCTCCTCCTCCTCCTCCTCCTCCTCCTCGTGGGTCCCCCTCCTTGGGCACTGGCGAGTGGGCACGCAGACCGGCTGCGGGCGGAGAGGCGTCGACGGCGCGTGGGGGGGGGGGCAGCACGCTCGCGCGCGCGGCGCGCGGGGGGGCCTTTAGCCAGCACGAGACCTCCTGGATGTTGAGCTCCTCGAGGCAGGAAGGGGGGGGGGGGGGGGGGCGGACCCCGCAGGGAGGGGGGGAGGGAGGGCGCGCCATGGCGGCGTGGGGCGGGAGGTGGGAGGAGGGGGCAGGGGACGGGGGGGAGGGGTCGGACGGGGGGAGGAGGAGGGAGGCAGGACGAGGAGGGGAGAGGGAGGGGAGGAGGGGAAGGGAGGGGGGGAGGATAGGGGGGACTTAGAGGGGGGGGGGACAAGCTAGGTGCGCTCGCGTCATATCTGACGTCCTACCCCTCCCTCCTATCCTTTACCATGGCAGGACGAAGTGGTGGAGGAGGAGGCCATGAAGGGAAGAGGAGGAGGGAATGGAGGGTGACGACAAGCTAGGTGCGCTCGCGCCATGCCTGGCATCCTATCCCTCCCTCACATCCCTTCCCAACGCGCTGATTATCATCCCTCCCATGCATCCCGTCCATCCCTCACATCCGTCCTTTACATTCCATCTCTTTCCATCTGGCATCCCTCCCTTCCCTGTCCTTTCTCTTTGTGTACCTACGGATGCGAGTCGTAGCCCACCTGGAACCCAAACCAATGAACAAAAACCCATCATGCTATGCGACATCGTAACAGGGGAGCTGCGCACATAGGAGGAGGAAGAGAAGGAGGTGGCGGATGAGCGGGAGGATGAGCTGGGGGGGGGCTCTGCTTGACCACCCATCCCTTCTTTGATCGATCCCCTCCAAGATGGCCCCAATATGGCCTTGGAGGCTTCCAAGAGTGCCCCAAGAAGGTCCCAAGAGGCGACCAGGAGACCCCGAGGGCCCCCCAAGATGCCTCCAAGATGTCCCCAAGAGGCTCCCACGAGACCCCAAAGCTGCTTCTTGAGGCCCCCCCCGAAGCACCCAAAACGCTTAAAGGGGCCCCAAGGACCACCGCGAGGCCCCCAAGACGCCCTCACAAGCCTACAAGAAGCTCTCGAGAGACATCCGAGCAGACTCCGAGAAGCATCCAAGAGGTCCCTGGCTTTCCTATTCGCACCTCCCCTCTTCCTCATCAGCCTAATCCTTCTCCTACCTCCTCCCCCGTCTCTCTCTCTCTCTCTCTCTCTCTCTCTTCCCTCTTGCCCCCCCCCCACTCCTTCTCCTCCTCCTCCACATCATCATCATCATCATCATCATCATCATCATCATCATCATCATCATCATCTGGTTCCTCCTCCTCCTCCTCCTCCTCCTCCTCCTCATCATCATCATCATCATCATCATCATCATCATCATCATCATCATCATCATCATCATCATCAGCATCATCATCATCATCACATTATCATCATCATCATCATCCTCATCCTCATCATCATCATCATCATCATCAGCAGCATCATCAGCATCATCATCATCATCAGCATCAGCATCAGCATCAGCATCATCATCATCATCATCATCATCATCATCATCATCATCATCATCATCATCACCATCACCATCACCATCACCATCACCATCATCATCATCATCATCATCATCATCATCATCATCATCATCATCATCATCATCATCATCTGGTTCCTCCTCTATCCTCTCCCTCTTGGGGGTACGACGGCTTCCCACATGCAGGAGCAGGGCAGCACCCCTGGACAATGCAGGAGCAGGGCAGCACCCCTGGACAATGTTTCTGGATGGGCTGGCGGGGCTATACATGCGAAGCGTCTGGCATAAAATTGTCATCCTGCCCTGCTCCTGGCCAAGCAAGCAGGGCCGGGCTTCACGGACTCATCCACCTCGCGTTTGATGAGTGCACCTGCCGTCGGCCGATTGATGTGTTCAGTCCGCCGACCCCTTCCCGGAGGCTTGCTCGTTGCCTCGTATGGTCGGAGATCTTGGAATGGTGAGGACTGGGAGTAGGGCGACGACGACAGCGTCGACGACCACGATGATCACGACAACAACGACGACGACGACGACGCCGCCGACGACGAAGACGACGAGGCCAGCAAGATCCTGCTTCGTGGCATCGTCCATCTCGCACATGCGCAGCATGGCGCGCTGCGCCGCGGGAGACGCGGCGTCGAAGGTGCCGTCGAAGGACCACTGGGGCGCCGTGTCCTGGAGGCGTGGGGAGCCGGGGGAGGGCGAGGGGGAGAGGGAGGACAGATAGGAGGGGGAGAGGGGGGGGGAGGGTTAGGAGGCAACTCCTGGGAGGTCTTCGTGGGAACGATCATGGGCTAGTAAGCCGCCCGATTGCGGTGCAACCGAGGCGGATTGCGCCAGAGTGAGCCCAGGACCAAGCCGACGATTTAGCCAGATGGGGCATAATAAAACAGTAATATGCCGTATCAGGTCGGGTCTCGACCACGGATATAACAGATCTCGACCCTCCAGGACTTCTATACATTCCGAAAGGACGGGTGCAAGGGAGGAGAGAGCGCTCGGGGGCTCAAGGGAACAGGGCGGAGAGCTTGGGGTGGAACACCAGACAGCAGAAATCAGCGCAATTGGCATAAAATCGCAGACGACCGCGAACACGTTCTCTCTGCTGGCGCCAAACCCCCAACGAAGCCACAGCCCCTGAGCGGCGCCGCCGGCGCCGCATGCCGAGAGGGTTCCGGCGCCAGCGAAGAGACTGTGCGCGGGCCTCCGAAAATCTCTATGGCCTATGCGGTGTTCTGGCTCTCCCTGGGGGAAGACTCCGAGGGAACGGGCGGGAGGCACCCCGACTCACAACGCCGCGACACGGCGGGTCCTAGAACGGGCAGGACGGGGTCCGAACCTCTGCTGTCTGATCTCTCGAGCCGCATCGAAGTTTTGAGGGCCTGTTGGACAGGAACTGGGCAACTGTGGTCGTGGCCGATTTCTCACGTGACGGAGGGAGTGAGAGGAACAGGCCTTCTCAGAGCCGGGAAGACACCAGACTCGGGTACGGGGGACTCGGGTTGGCCTCACGGGGATATCATGAAAATGACGAAACCCGATCTGAAATTTGACGCGAGGTCCCGCTGCAAACATCGCACGAAAAATGAACCGTCAAATTCCAGGACGGGCTCGTCAAACAACAACGACGGCAAACCCGAGTTCTGGCTTACTCGAGTCTTACCTTCCCCCGACAGAAGCCCTCGGGCGTTCTGAGAAGCCCTCTGTGTCTCGGGAAAGGCTTGGAAAGCTTCTCAGAAGGCTGGCAGCCTTCTGAGAAAGGCGCGTTCGCAAAGTTTCAGGCCCCCAGGACCCTCACAGATCGATCTGGCTCCCAACATTGGGCGGAAACATTGGCTCTGGTCGTGTTCTTTTTTTTTGCGAGGGCGCAATATTGCTCCCTGCGTCGGAAACTTAGGGGAGGGCGCCTGCACACCACCACCACGGCGCCTGGCCAGGGCCATCCTGGGCTTTGCGATGCCGAACGGCAGGTCCGTGCAATTATGACCCCATCGTTGCTCTCTGATACCGCGTGGATCGTTCAATTGAGGGACAACGATAGACGGGGACTGGCAGAAGGGGGGGAAACAACGGCCTGGAATCGGCGACACGTCGCCGATAGATCGGCGATCGGTCTCCGATCGTGAATCCGCACATTCCTGGGCAGGTTGGTGCTATCGGGTCCCTATCGGCGATCAGTGGGCGATTGGGGGTCGATGCACCCTCCCCTATGCATATCCCCCCGTACCTTTTTCCCTCATCAACCTTGAATAATCGACATTCTACCGCCAGATCGTTTCATTCGCCTGCCAATGGGGTCAGACTTCTGGGGGTCTGAATCAGTCACAGGCGAACTCAAGAATATCGCTGGTCCAGGCGAAGATAGTCGAGAGCCATTCCAAAGGAAGCGCCAAGGAATGGAAACACTGTTGAGGCGAATACGGCCCAGGACAAGGACCCTCCGGGGACATGACCTTACCTGTCCCTGCTCCCCAGGAGGCTCGACTACACGCAAGAGTGACCCTGGGTAAGAGTGACCTTTGGTGCGCGGCCTTTGGGGGGCCGCGGGGGAATCAAGCACAAGCGCGCAGGACGCCACTGCCGCCTCGCGTTCGGCGATCGGGGGACCCCATTGGGCCCGCACCAGAGGTCACTCCGGCGAAAGTTCACTCTTACGTCTAGTCGAGAGGCTGACCTCACTGGCAGACGAGAGTCGCTCCACACTGGCCGACTCCGAAGCACTGGCGGCGTTCCACCTCCGGCGCCCGCGGCGGAGCCGATATGCCGAGCATCGACGCGGCCGCCCGACGGGGCGCCCGCGGCCTCCCGGGGGGGCGCCCCCCATAGGACAGCCCGTGGCGGAGACCGTCCCGGCCCAGCCATGCTCGTAGGGGGCCAGATGCGAACCCTACCCCGACGACGCCCGAGCTAACCCGAGCGAAGGGAGCCCCACCCTCCCCCTCAGCAATCGTAGGGGGGGCAGGGGCAGGGTTCGCATCTGGCCCCCCAGCCTGGGCGTCGGCGGGACCGGGTGTGGTGGGGCCTGGTGCGGTGGTGATGCGCACCGGGGGACGCACGCACACAGACACACACACACACACACACACACATACACACAAAGACACAAACACACACACACACACACACACACACCAGACACACACACACACACACACACTTCTTGATCTGCGGGGCAAGAGCGAACCTCTTCCGCTGAAAGCTGAGCGGGACGCGCACAGCTTTAATTAGCAGAGAAAGGCTCACACACATACACACATACACACACAAACACACACACACACACACACACACACACACACGCGTAACACAACTCGGCACACGTTCCAGGCAGGCCAAGATTGTTTCATGTTTCCTAGATTCTCGTCGTCCCCTCGATCTCCCATACGTCCTCGAATCCTTGAGGGAAGCAGCGTTTACTCGCGCCCCACTCCACTGACCGGAACTGCCGTCATCCGAAGAAGCACCTGCTGCAGTGGGGACGCGGCCGCAAGGAGCCCTCGCAAGGAGCCGCCCAGCCCTGAAAAGCCGCGCGCGAGATGCACACGGGGGGGTAACCCCGAGCACCCTGAACGCAGCAGCTTCTTCAACGGCCGCGGGAAGTCATCGCTCAGCTCTCGGAGCGAAGAAACCTAGGGTACCCTGACGAATAGCTGATGGTGTCTTGATGCGCTTCCCCACTGCACTGCAAACTCGGTTGCGTGAGCCTGGTTCCTTTTTTGGCCTTCGGAGCTCAATCACGAATCGCTTCCCTTTGCAGTAGGAGCTCGACCACAAGAAACCTTCCACAATAAAAGCAACCCTGAGACCCCAGGACGCCCATGGATTTTGGTGTGGGGACGCCACGCTTTCCGTAGCAGAAGCGTCGAAACCCAGGAAACCCAGGGCACCCTGGAGGCAACCTGGAGTGCTTCTCGGCGCGCAGAGGCGTGCAGGGGGGAGGGCTTCTTAGAAGGATGCCGCCTCTCATATCAGGGGTGGGCCTCGCAGCCAGACGAGGCCCGCGCCCTCTGAGAGGCCGGGGTGCTTCTGAGCAGCCCTCCCCCCTCCCCCATGCCTCCCTCTAGAGGCCTCCTAGATGGGGTCGGAGAAGATGGGGTCGGAGGATCGCGCCGCATCGCCGATGCATCGGCGATGCATCGGCGATGCATCGGCGATGCACCGGCGATGCATCGACGATGCACCGGCGATGCATCGGCGACGTCGACGAGAAGCAAGCCGTCGACCTCCCCCTGCGCGTGGCCGAACCGCACCCGAGGCCTCGGGACGCGCCCCTGGGGCTCGAGCGGGGCGCCTGCCCAGCAATCTCCGGCGATGCTTCTGCTGCCTCCTCCGGGCGCTCTTCCTGGAGCTCTCGGCCCTCCGCGGCCCATTGTCGGACCCCGCGGCCATCTCCGAAAGGAAGCCATGTGCAGGGGCCCCAGGACACGCAAATAAATGCACACGAATAAACATAGTCCCAAGTGTTTCCCATATCTTCCTGGGTTGTTCTCTTCACCACTTCCCATAATCTCCTCTATGTTCTGGGGAATCGACGATGAATTGTGTCTGTGTGTTTCCTTCCCTCCTGAGTCTTGGAACCCTCGGCCCTCCGGGGCCCGCTGTCGGACCCCGCGGCCACCTCCGAGAGGCAGCCATGGGGCGACAGGCCTGCCCCGGGCAAGGGCCCGGGGACCTCTGGTGGGACGCACATGGACATACTAGTACTATATGTCCTCCTTGGAGGCGCGCGTCCGACCCGAACATATAGTATACCCATCTTGTAGTATATCGTTTCCCGAGCGGTGTGGCCAGAAAGCGCCCGCCACGACGCATATACTATAAGATTTCTCGGTGCGCGCGTCGCCCCTGGGGGGGCGACGCACATATAGTATAAGTATGTTGGGGTGTTGCCGATCTGGGGCCGCAGGATTGGAAAACTCCTACCAGCGGATGTGAGGAGGCAACTGCTGGGAGGTCTCCGTCGGAAGGACGGAGCAGGATTCAGCCCCAGCTGGGAGCCATGTCGCCAGACTGGGCCTCGGGGCAAGCGGGATGGAGCGGGATTCAGCGGGATGAAGCGGGACTGAGCGGGATGAAGCCGGATTGAGCCGGACTTCGGACCAGTGCAACATCAGAATTTGACCTCCCAGGAGTGGCATCCGAGCGGACGTATGGACGCATACCACACACCACCACCCCTAAAACAAGGCTAGGATCGGGATAAATCGCTCCAGAGCGTTCCGGAGCGCTCCCAGAGCGTTCCGGAACGTTCTGGAGCGGCCGCGGCGCCCAATACATCCTCCAAACCCGCCGATTCTCAGAGATTTCGAGTTATCCCGTTCCGATTTTGTCCCGATCTTCGCGTCGTTTGACCACACCACCGCCCCTGACCAGGGTCATCCTGGGGCTCTCGGTGGGGCACAGGCCCTCCTGGCAGAGGCGGGGAGGGCGCACGCACCGCGCCCTGGCCGGCGGTGGCTTTCCTGGCCAGGCATGCCGGTGGTGTGTGACTGGGCACCTTCTGCGGATGCCGGGGCGTTGGAACCATCGATGTGTATATGTGTGTATATTGTTGTTATTTCTCTGTCTTTCTCTCTCTGTCTCTCTCTCTCTCTCTGACTCTGGGACACCTAGATCCTCCCTAACGGCCCCTTATGTGCTTCCTGTATGTGTGTCTCTCTCTCTCTCTCTTGTTT